TGATTTTGATATAGGCTGGTAGCAGCCTCTCGCTGACTAAGAGCTAGTAATTTGTATATACAAATTTAAACTCTTACAAGAGAAATAGTTGCTGCGGCAGATCGCACTTAGGTGCTAAAAAGTAACTGAGTGAGTTCAGATTAGTTTTAGGAAAGTAGTTTGTTATAAATAGTGTAGCATTTTACTTGTAGTTTAAATTAGCTTATTCTTAATAAAATGATAGGCAAGATCGCCTAAGTTTAAAAAAAAAATAAAATAAAATAAAATAGTAAATACTTTTAACATATAAGAAATATTGTCTATAATAAACAAAATAATATTTTCGAATAGAATATTATAAAATTGAAGTATTTTTATTACTAATTGTGTAATAGTAGGATTATTAACAATATCTAAATACTCAGTTTTAACTAGTTTAGTTATATTATAAAAACTAAATAATATATTTATAGCAGCTTTTCCACAAATATCAGGTGATTTGTCGATAGTAATAGAAATTTGTTTTCCAACTAAGAATAGTTTTAAATTCTCAATTTCTGAATTAAATGCAATAGTCAAATATCTGCTATATAATTGAGTTAATTTAAAAATAGAACTACCTGTTATACAAATAATAATTAATTAATATTTAATTAACAAATTAAAATCTTTATTAACAAAATTAACTTACCATTTTTACAGTACTTCAAGAAGAATAGTTTAAGCTTATCAACTTTCTCAAGTAGAATATTAGCTTGAGTTAAAGCATAAATTAAATCTATATTAATTGCATCATGTTCTTTTCAACAAGTATTAATTTTAGAAGCTAATTCATTAGTTTCTTATAGATTTTTATTAGCTTTATATTTATTTGTTTTATGTTTATCAGTTCTTAAATATTGATCAAGTATAAATTTATTTTTATAATTTACAATACGTTTACAGAAGATACAAAATAAACTTTTACCTTCAAAATAAAAGTTTTTTTTATACTCCTTATTTTTATTAACATGGTCATTAGGTATAATCATTTTTGAAAAATAAAAATTGAAAAAAAAACAAATTCGTAATTTTTTTATTTTTTAAACTTTATTAAATATTAACTAGCAACTTTTAAAACTTATATTGTTATACAAAAAGTAAAACTAAATTTCTATTTTACATTATTGATTTTTCCTAAGAGCAAAACTAATTCCAAAAAACTTTAATTTCTAAAAATTATATTATTGATTTTTTCTAAGAGTGTAACTAATTTCAGATTTTAATACTAAAAGTGAAACTAATTTCAAATTCTAATGCTAAGAGATGAAACTAATTTCAGATTCTAATGCTAAAAGGTGAAACTAAATTTAGATACTAATGCTAATGATGAAACCAAATATTAATACCTTCTTTTGACAAAGAATTTGAATGTACTGCGAGTACATATGTTCACATATGATTTATGAAAAGCATATTACATATGCATATATATGCACATTACATTTCCCTGTTCACTCTAGATACAATATATCTCAAGAAGACCTAAACTATTCTGAATAAATAGATCTGTAACAAGCTAGCTAGCTTAAGTAATTAGGTATTGCGGTAACATTAGATTAGATCTGTATAGATTAATGAATAGAATGTTTAAATAGATAACTCATAAGTAGGTTACAGGTATAGTAGTATAGTATAAAACTAATTAGATAGTCTAATTGTCTATGTAGTAGACTACTTAAAATAGATAATGACTAAAGTTGTACATATAGCTTGTTATACACTCTTCATATAATTACAAACAGTAGAGACTATCAATAGATATCCTGTATACAATTCTAATAAAATTTCTTTGGCAATATAAACTGCCTTAATAACAAAAAAAAAAAGCTCAAAGTTAGTCTATTTTTTTTAAAAAAAAATTAAAAAACTGAAACTTTTTGATATATTTATTAATTAGCTAATCAAAATTAAATATTTTTTTATACTACTAAACAAGTATCTTGGTATAACTTTGATATATAAACTTGTAAAATTTTAAATAGAATTATTATATAGAAAAAAAAGTTATAATAAAAAGAAAATAATCTATTTTTACTATATAAAAAATTAATAATTTATATAATAAAATTAATAATATTTATTAAAGGTCTAATAATCTTAATATAGTTGTTAAATTGCTAGACTACTATACAAAAGGTCTGAGATTCAAATTCTACTATTAATAGAATTGAATAATTACTTAGACCTTCTGTATCTAACTTATAGTAAAACCTGTTTGTTTTTAAGTATTGTAATTCTATAAATCATATTATATAAATATTACTTAGATATTAGAAGTATGATATAGCATTTGAAAAGATATAATATTATACAAATAAATCTTAATAAGATCTATAAACAGAAGACTTGTATAGTAGAAATTCTAAGTTAGATGAAGTAATACAGATTTTAATAGTCATATTAGTTTATGTTTGATCTAGAAAAGAAAATCTGTATATGAAAAGATTAGTAAAATAGAAGTGAGTAAGTTCATTATATGAAGTTATATGGTAATACTAACTTGGCTTAGTAGCTAACTAAATTTGAAAAGATTTGTTTTATAAGATATCTAGAAATACAAACAACTAACTCAGTAGAAAGCTTTAGTAGAAACTAAGTTTGTATAATTATCGAATAAAAGTATATACAAGTTAAATTAGAATATAGTATAGCATAGTTAAATTTTATAGTATTCTATTGATTAGAGAGTTAGTGAAAGAGTACCTTAAGATAGAGTCTAGACTTTGAATTGTAAAGTTTATAAACTAATATTAGCTTTGTTAATATTTTCTAAAAAGAAAAGTAGTATAAAGTTAGGTAAATTTAGATAAATAAGGATAGTATTTAAGTAAAATAGTATATAGTCAGAGGGTTTAAATAAAGAATTTTTAAATAAATTTTAGATATAGCAACTAGTATAGAACTTTTAAGTAGACTACTTAAGAGTAAGGTATATGTAAATCATTTTTCATATGATTTAGATAGTATATTAGATTTTTATATAGTAAATTAAAATATATTACTAGTAAAACTTTTTTATTTTTGAGGAACGCAAATCACTAACTCTTCCCGTAGATCACTTGTACCAAAACTTCTCAAAAACATTTTGTCATAACTAAAAATTTTATTAAGTAAACAACCTTTAGGCCACTAAGCAAAATTGTTCTACACAATATTCTGCTTCAGGGCGGCCTAGTTTCATATCTCTCAGACCTAAACTCACTGAGATATTTTATTTAAACTATTAAACTGTTCTTCCGAATTTTTCTCAATTTCTTACTAAGTCAACTACTCTTTCTCATTAAAAGAGTTGCGCTCAGCTCACTCTGAGCTTCATTTTGATATAAATTTTACTCAAAACGGATCAAAACTTAGTATTTTACCTACAAAAAACTGCTCTAAGGCTTTTTCTTAAAATTTACTTTATTTTTTACTTTTTCTTCTTTACCCCCTCCAAATTCGAAACTGGGTCACGTGACAGCCCAGAAAAAATCATTGGTTCACTCAAAAATTACCAATTCCCCTTTTAGCTCATTTTAATTTAACACAAATTAATTAATTACCTATTTGTTTTCTTTCTAATTTGTACCGCATATAGTACTAAACCTAATCTATTTTTATCTTAGTGTTACATATTTGTACCTCGTACTATACTTGCCACACTAGCCACACTAGCCATCAAGCCACACTAGCCACACTTTGTATCACATCATATTACACACATTACATGAAACAAATAATATCACTTCGCATACCTCTTCTTGACCTCATCCTCTTAAGTTTTAAACATATCTACTCTAATTAGTCAGGAACCTGACTCATATGATATCAATTATTACTACTCTAAGTACAGAGACCGTTTTGGAGTAGTAATGAATGAAAACAAAACATCTTCTCTTCATGTTCTTGCACACAATATCAGACCAACTCACTGTGAAGGAAATAACAAAAAACTTTACTACTTTCTTGTTCCCCTCCAACCTATTACTGCTACATGCTTCTGCGGTCAATATCATACAAGTTTTACCTCTCGCCACTATACCTTAACTCATACTACTCTTGGAAATCCTAAAGCAATGGATATCTCTCCAAATACAATCTCTTCAAAAGCTTATAGGAAAATCACTGAAGAGCTTATTTCTTCTCCTATTACCTGACCTACTCCTACCATTCTCTTTCTAGAATTCAAAACTGATACAACTCCTGCAACCATTCAAGCATACTCCCAACACCTACATACCTGTATTATTTGCAGAATTAAAAATTTACTATATGTCTACACTACTGACAATAAACACGCACCTGACTATACAACTTCTGTACTCTTCAAAACTCAACTCATTCACC